ATAGCGCCCAGGGAAGGTCTAATTAGAAGCTAAGGTTTAAGTGCAGAAAAAGGTAAGGTGATATGTGAAGTAGATTAAACAGATTTCTTATTCAAGGCAATTGACAAGCATGTGAATGATATTGCTAAGGTCTGTGCTTTGCAAAGGGAAAAAGAGTATTTCACACAGAAATAGCTAAAGGTACAAACTTTAAAAAATTGCATGTTCTTTAGTCTCTTCAGGAGATAACAGTAATACCTGAGGTGTTGCATAGATGGAGACAGGAAATGTTACTTGCTGACAACTTTGTGGATTACCGCCCCAGGAATCTGGCTACTTGGAAGACCAATAAGTAAGGAAGAATTCAAGTCAATATTTCATCTGATAAAATTTTTGTTTAAGGTGGAAAATCAAAGGAGATATGTTCAGATGAAGAATATACAGATAAAGCTCTAGCACTGTTTTCCCACCATGTTGCTTTCAACAAATACCAAGTACCTGTTTTGTGGTTAAAACATAGTTTCTCAAAAAACAGTGAAAAGAAGATGTTGTCCCTGACTTCATATAACTTACATATTAGTAGGAAAAAAAGACATTAGGCTTATAATTGCATTGTCATTTATTAGCTATGATTACAGAGATGATTTGGGGCTATTAAAGATTTTAGGAAAGTCCTTTTTGAGGAAGAAATATTTAAGTAGAGTTCTAAAGGATGAAAAGGCATTAGCCAAAGGAAGGTGAAAGAAAACATCTCAGGCAAGGGAACTAAAGGACCAAGAAGGCCACTGTCACTGTAGCCTGGAGTACAAGAGGGATGTGAGGAGATGTGGGTGGGGCCAGATGATTCTAGGCCTCATAGGCTAAGGTTAGGGTTTTGTTTTTAATCACAAGTACTAGGAAAAACCATTAGAGTGGAGGCTGCTAGAGGCAGATACCATGATCAGATGTGTGTTTGGATTGGAGACGTAAAAGTGAATGTAAGGCTTTGAGGTAGGGTGGTGATGGTGGAGACGGTGTGGATTTGATGGGGTAGAATGGAGTGCAGGTGATGATTGCATATGGGAGGATGCAGAAGAGGTTGGCGTTAAGAATGACAACCATGCTTTTTTTTTTTCCTCCTTTGGGTAGTCATATGTTGCAATTTATTGAAATTGAGAAGACTGAAGGAGCATCTAATTAAGAAAGATGAAGAATTTTAGACTTGTTGAGTCTGAGGTTTCCTGTGAGATAGCCAATAGAGATATTGAGTGGGCTTGTGTAACAAGAGTCATCTGAAAAGCAACTGAAGCCATGAGAATGGATGAGATCCAGAAGAGATCTCCAACTCTGAGCACAGTGGCTGTGCAGTGGCAGACCTCTGTACTGTCTTGTGATAGCACATTCCTGAAAAAGGACTGCAAGTCACTGATGGAAAGCAGTTACTGTTTGTACTGCTGCAAGCACTTCTAAAATGGTCATCTTGGTTAATGATGATTGCTCACATTCAGAGCATTTCTGTATATCAAACATGAGTTAACACTTCACCTACAGTGTCTCACTCAGTGTTGAAAATCCTATGAGGCAGTTAGTATTATTATCTCCATTTTACAGCTGAAGAAACAGGTTAACAGAAATTCAGAAAACATGATGGAGGCCTAGAGTAGATGGTCAAGCTTAGGTCACCTGGTCTCAGGAATCAGCCTTTTGCCTCTCCCTAGTTCCTAGTATCTACAATCACTTTGCTGTTTCAATTTCCAACCTCTCACCCACCCATCACTTATCAAAAATGTCTTCTTCTTAACCTCCTTGCCTGCTTGTAGTAGCTGGTTTTACCAGAGGAGCCCAGATACCTATGGCAACTCTATTCCTATTTTTAACTTGCCATCCCCAACTGCCTAAAGATGGTTCCAAGGCATCCTGGAATTATTAGGGTAGCAAAAGGCAGGAGAGTGTGTGTTCAGAGCTAGGTCCCAAATAGCCATCTATCTAACTTGAGTTACCAGAACAAAATACCATACACTGAGTGGCTTAAACAACAGAAATTTAATTTTTACAGTTCTAGAAGCAAGTCTAAGATCACAATTCTGGCTGATTCAGTTTCTGAGGGCTATTTTCCTGGTTTACGAATGGCCAACATCTCACTATGTTCTGTCTCACTATGTTCCAGGTTTCATAAGGACACTAATCCTATAGGATCATGGCCCCATCCTATGACAATATGTGATCTTAATTAATATAGTTGTTTTGGGAGTTGGGGTTTCAACATCGGAATTTTGGAAGAACATTTGTATTCTTTTGGTCCATAACATGGTCTGAATGTGTCATCACTACATTGTATTTCATTAACTCTGCATAGGGCAGACATGAACTTGGCCATGTCACTTGTTTAGGGGAGAATCTAAGGCTGGATCCAATGTGAGGAAAAACCCACTGCCACTCAGCTAGTCCAACACTATCCTAGAAAAGGAAATGAAGTTACTCAGGTTCATAGTGCTGGCACACAGCACTCTTATAAACCCAGCTTGCTTTCTAGATTCAAGCTCTATGCAAATCCAATTACCCAGGAATTTATTTCAGAAGAGTCTCTTCATTTGAAGTGGCCAAGCCTTTGCTGAGGTGGCTGGGGTCACTGCAATGCAACAGAGATATCAGATACCTTCCAAATTGTATACATCTCAGCACTTTTTGGTTTACTTTAAGGGATCCCAAGAGTCTCCTGGATCACTCTGATTCTAGCTGATAATGGTCTAGGAACTAAAAGGGATTTCTAAGCCACTGAAACCTTTCTCCCATGAAAGGACCAGCTCTTGCATTTGTTTGTGGTCACAAAAGGCAGTGGACTTTTGTGAGACTGCATCATGTTTGGGGTTCAGCTTTTCCCATCAGTAGTGCTGCCTCAAGTCTGCAGCTCAATTATAACGATAGCTTACACTTGGGTGGTCACTTTGTACAAGCATTGTGCTAGCATGTCATATTGGTCATACTGCTTAATATTCAACCCTGTAGAACTAAATAGTATAATATCCATTTCACAGTTGAGGAAACAAGCTCAGGTTAAATAATTTGCTCAAGGTCACGTAGCTATTCGGAGGTGAAGCTGGAATCTAAAGCTAGACGGTTAGACTCTAGAGCTTGTCTTCTGACCATCTTTCATACTACCTTTAAGTCTTCGATATGGTGGAAGAAAGTCCTGTTCATACATTAGTCTTCTACCTCTCATAATCCCAGATCAAGGCTGAAGGATCCCCCAGATCAACAGCATGTGCTTTTGGTACACCAGCCAGGGGATTGTATTTTGTACATTTTTTTCCCATCTAGTCCTCTCTGCAACCAAAGTTGGTGCAAATGAACTGGGTCACCTTTACTGTAGACTGGAGAAATTTGGATATGGTTCCAAAGACTAAGCTATGATGCTCTGTAAGATGACCGTAGAATTGGGGTTCTTGGTTTCTATTACAATTCTCCATTGCTTCCCAGAATAGGAACCTGGGGAGAATTTTGTACTGGGAAGTGGTGATGGGAGCCCTGGCTAGTCTTTTCTGCACCCCAAGCTTGGCCTTCAGAATGTTTCAATGTCTGACAACCCTTATAAATGTTGCAGAATTGCATGGCTATATGCATCTGGCCAGGGACAAGAGTCCTTATCTTGTTCCAATTCTCAAAGTCCAGTGACCCTAAATGTTTTTGAATTACTGGATTAGATAATCTGTCATTTTTTTCAGTCAAAACTTCTCTAAGTTCTAGTGTCACATTGAGCCAGATGACTCCCAAAAATATTTAATAAAAAGAAAGACTCCTTAGAATAAGGCTAACTTTGAAACTGGTCAAGGTTATCACAAAGTTCTCTATTCCCTTTAGATTCTTTGAAATTCTTTCTCCTGGAGGGGTTTAGTCATCATTTCTTTCCTGTGGGGTTCTCCAGGGCAAGTTCCTATCTACACGGGAGGAAGTGGCAGAACGCTGCCCTCTCTACCTGACCTTTAAGCCTTTCTGGCTCAGGATGGCTCTTGGGAGACTTCAGGTCCAGGGAGGCTCTTTGGGAGGCTTCAGGTCCAGGGAGCAAAGGGGAGGACAGCGGGTGGAAGGAACTGCCCGCAGAGAGTCTCCAGGGAGTCCTGTTAACAAGAATTTATTCAGCAGGTCAGGCAGCAATTTTCCCTAGAGACCGTTCTGAAAAAACTCCCCAGAGCAAGTAACTGGGGAAAGCTAGAGAGGAGGAGGAGGTTATCATTAAACTGACCTGGGCCACAGCGGCCGGGAAGGCGGATCAAACTTGGGTCTCTTCCTGCTCGGATGGACCAGCCCTTATTCCCTTTCCCATAGCGGCGCAACCAATAACCAGAGTGTTCTCAGAGCTTGGATCTAATTCGGTGAGTTTTTATTGTAGAAATGTGGCTCATGGAGATGTGAGATGCTGATCCCCACAGCCGCACCCTGCAAGTGAGACTGCACCTCTCCACCGAACCCCTCTCCGTCTCTGCCCGCAGAAGGAATTGGCTATTTAGACTTTAGGCGGGACCCACTGAAACTCGGGCGTGGTGTCATTTCCCTAAGGGGACGCGGTCCTCTATGAACATCATTCCAAGGTTCAGCTGAGTTCACGCTAGGATCCTAGTGGGATCCTCAGTGCCAAGGAGCAAGAAAGGCGGCAGCATCTTTGGGGAGACAGCCACAGGGCCAGGGAGTCGGGACGGCAGCTCCTGGCTAGCTGTGCTCTGGCGGTTCCTGCTCCTTCTGTGGCAAAGTAAGGAATTCAACCCGTGGCAGGCAAGGCTTCTGAGCCCAGGTGGCACACTGTCTTTCAGGATGGTTCCCCGACTGGACCCTCTGTTTAGGGGAAGAAAGACACCCTTTCAAGTACTGGGCTAAGGATCCTGTGCAGCCTCCCAACGTCTCCTTTTTACTTTCGTTGGGAAAAGGTCTGAGCAAAGTGTTTCCAGGGACCAGCAACCTCCGATGTCAATCCCGCTCTGCCCGGTTCATGCTAGAGTGTCTTGGGGAGGCCAGGACGCGGCACCCGGCGGCTTTGGCTTAGTTCAAAGCTACACCGGCCGCGTCTTCCAGGGAGCACGGGCGTCGCGCAGCGAACGGTCGTGGGGCAGCGCGGCGAAGGCCGAGTGGCGCAGCTGGCAGCCGATGAAGAGGACGACGAGCGCCACGGAAAGCAGCAGCAGGAAGAAGAGCAGCAGGTAGGTGGGCAGGTCAGGTTTTGTGGCCGTGCCATCCCGCATACCGCGCGCAGTGGCCAGCTCCAGAGGCAAAGCGCCCTCTGCCTTGACGGTGGCACCAGGAGCCAGAGCACCACCGACCGCTGCCTCGGGGCCGCCCGTGGCGTTGAACACGTCTCCGTACATGGCCCGCGGGTCCTAGCGACCCCAGTAGGACCTCCTCACTTGGCCTCGCGCTGACCTGAGCTAGCCAGCGCTTCCATGGAGCTCTCCTCCCGCCCTGCAAGCAACTGACCGGGAGAGTCTGTGCCTTCCGACCAGAGGGGAAAGCACAGATCCCGGGACCCTCCGCTCACTCTCCTAGGTGCTCGTCTGCCTTTGCCACGCCGCGGTGGACCTCTGCCCTCGGAGCTGCACAGCTCCGTGCCTGCGCCCTTCAAGCTTTCCCTGTTTATCGCTGTTGCCAGCAAGAGAGGGGTCCCAAGTCTCTGATTGTCTCACGGTTTCACAGCCGCTGTCTCGGCTCCGACCCTCAGCTTGGGGGAGCTCCGGGTTCCAGGCGCGCGTCTGGGCTGCAGCGACTGTGAGAGGTGCTGAGTGAGTGCTGCCGCAGCTCCGCACTGGACGCAGAGTGCACCGAGGGCGGGTGGCGCGGAGTCCTCCGAGTCAGTCCTCTGGCGCTGGCGCCACCGCCGCGGCAGCTATCAAGGCAGTCCTGCAGTCCCGGGTCCTTGTCGAGACGTCCCGGTGTGTGTGGCCAGCTTGTCCTCACTCCCTCTGGCTGCTAGGCTCCTGTTTGAGCTGGAGATAGCTCTGAGGCAGCTCTGGGCGCGCTTTGGTCCCGGGCGGGGGGAGGGGGCGGGATTGGTGGTGGCTGCCCCCTGGGAGAAGCTGCGAACCAATGAGGGCGAGGGAGGACACGGCTGTGACTGCCCACTGCCCGCCTCACATCACTCAGGAACAGAGGATACCAAAGAGCAAGAAAGCTGAGCTGGGGCGGGGGAGGGTTGTTGGGGGGTGGGGGGCGGCGCAGAGGGGAGCCAGAGCAGTCTAGCAAGCACGCCCATAGGGTCACAGAAAGCTGGAGGGTCAAAGACACAGCTACAGACCTACGGACAGAGCCACAGGGAAAACAGACAGTTGAGCGATGCAAACTCAGAAACAAGGTTTAGCAGAGCATGGACACCAGCTTTGTTCATTTGATGTCTTCTTTCCAGGCAGAGCCGGTTTGGGTGAAGCCCCCACTGGCTGCTGGATAGCTTAGGCAGGGCACACCCGAGTAAAGGCACAGACTTTTGTTCAAACTGGAGCCTGTGGGTAAGTGTGCTTCTCCACCAGGAGCTCACTTGCTCAACAGCATTTGCAGTCCTGCTAAAAAATAGAGGGGTAAGAGGAGGACATGGTGCTGGCCATGACCCACCCACTTTGGGAACCCCTGGAAAGGACTGGTGGCCAGGACAGAGGTGAGCAGTCAGTTGGACTGGGAGTGGGGAAGTCCCCTTTTCCAGGACTCCAAACTCCTCACTTCCTGCTAGAAACCTTCCAAACCCCCAGCCAGAAGGTGAACCCTGCCCTGGTCCACCATGGATCCTGTGCTTCTTCTTTGTAAGCCCTGGAGATCATTGTCCAGCAAGATCAAAACCGGAGGCCTCAGGTAAGAAGCCTAAGGAACCAAACTAAAGGAGACTCTTGCTTTCAGGTTCCTGCAAGGTCAGGGTCAGGAGCAGACATCTCCTTCAGGTTTACACCCTAGATGTCCCATGCCTCACTGTAATCATAGCCCTGTTGCCTGGTCACTTGTCTGAGACCCTCACTGGATCAGCCAAGTTCACATCTGTGTCTCTCTGCCCCTTTCTTCTTCCTCTAGGGAAAGTACCTGGGGAGAGCTTGGTGACATTCACTGAATGATGAAGAGCTGAATTACTTATTCCCCTCTCCCCTCTGCATTTTGTGCCAGGTCACCAGTACAGTAAGAACCACCAAGTTGTTCCAGGCCACAGCTCATCCTCACAAATCCCTGTGAGCTCTTCATCTGTCTTTAAAACTGTGGTCCCAAGTACTGACTTTAGAGTGTTTGGCTGCTGAACAAGATGCAAAATAATTGCTCCAAGAGGCTCTTTGTAGTGTTTGCAATTTAATTCCATGGGTAGGTCCCTGAAGGCCTCCCCAGCCAGGGGGGAATTACAAGGAGGGCAGGACCCAGCAGAACTCAGCATGGCCCCATCTGCTCAGTCACCAACCCAGACAGAGCCTACCTTGGTCCTGGGAAGCTGCTGTCTCTACTCTTGGCTACTGCTTAGGTTAACACCTCATTTTTGGAGTGGGAAAACTGGCTCTGAGAGGGGACAGGCCTTATCCTTATTAGCACAGGACAGTTACCATGTAACACTGATGTGGTAGCAGCAATAGTTATGGGCAGGAGTCCCTTTCTCTAAAGATCTGACCTATTTAGACACTCAAACAGCAGGATCCTACAGGAAATTTTGTAAAACCAGAGCAGGCCTCATTGGCTCTTTCAACAATGAGGAGCGATAGCATATGGGCCATATATGGAAAAGGATTACAAACTGTCAGTGACTTCTGGGTCCTAGTTTGAATGCAGAGCTTGAGTAGCTTGATTTGGGGGTTGGCCTGGATTTTTCTCCTGGAGTCTATATGGGGAGTAAAAAGGCCCTTTCCTCTACTTCTTTTCAACTCCATCCATGATACCAGATAAGAACTGGATGGCACAGTTGGAAGGTCCAGATGGAACTTGTGCAGGCCTCAACTCATTGTGGACTATTGAACAAGGAGTGAAGGTAGTTGACTTCCGGTCCTGCTCTGGAACAAGCTGTGATCATCCAGGAAATGATTGTGGAACAGGGAGTCTGCAGAGGATTTGGTGTAGATGGGCATCCCTGCAGTTCCACAATCTCTGAGCCTGGGGGTTCCTAACACTGCTCATTTCTTCCCCACAGCTGCTTTTCATCCCCATGCTGCATCCGGGAATGGAGGAGCTGAGGCTTGAACCTGGGCTTCCCCAGTTCTAGAGTCCATGCACTTGACCACTATGATGAAGCCTCCCATGAAGGAGCAGTTCTGGTAGATGCTATTCATGGCCCTTTTACTATAAGCAGAGCACCAGGCTTCAGAATTCATCTTTTCCCCTATAGCAGCCTGTGAAGGCACTGCTATCATTCCCACTTTCCCCAGGAGGGAGCTGGAACCCCAAGAAGTGGTGTTACTTGGCAAGCTCATGGAGTTGGGTGGTGGAGCAAGCAAGCCACAAACTTGCAGCCTGTGCTCATTCACTCAGTCTTAGCTGCTTTTTCTCCTGAGGAAGAATGTGTGGACAAAATGCCTTTCCTTTTGGCAAAGTTGGAGGAAATATATCGCCCCTTTGCGGGGGGTGGGGGGTGGGGGGTAGTGTCTTTTGGTCCTGAAGTAGGGAGGGCACGATTTCTTTTTTGAAAGATGTCCAGAGCCCTGAGAGGGCAGTCACGTTCCCTGCACATCCCTGGCAGGAAATTAAACAAGGCCAGTACTGAGTAAATGCAGAGATGAAGTTTACACAGCTTTTTATACAAACCAAGCGACCTTCCATTAAGGGAGCATTGTGTACTCATACATTTAAGTCTTTGGAAAGATTATAAAAGGGGGCTCAGAGGTCAGCTTTGACAGGCAGAGGTCACAGGGCTGGGACCTTAGAGCCACCTCTTTCCCATTACGTAGTTGTTGAGTGACACACACGTGCCTTCCTAGTCTGCCTGTCTGAGAGCAGCCCAGGGAAGCAAGGCAAGGGCGCTTTCCTGCCACATGAGAGCCATTTGGCAGCTGTTGAGTGGAAACTTTGGAGACAGACAGGGAGCATTGGAGCCCCAGGATTTTGTAAACTGTGCTTCATGGGCCTGTGGTGTTCAGTACAGCCATTTCAGTTTCTTCCCCCATGCTCTGGGAGTTAAACCACTGATTGTCACACAGAGGCTGGGACTGAAGGTCAAGCTTAAGAGTTGCTATCTCAAGGCTGGAGTTGGATGCTGCTGCATTTGGTATCCCTGTGTATGGAGAGAGGGTGGAGTTAGACTGCTCTAAAATGGAATGACCCCTCCCTCTCTGTGAATGTTGCCAGTGCTCTTGTTTGCAGAAACTTTTTTTTTTTTTTAAACCATCATCCCTGGCAATGGCTTTTCTCTTCCTCCTGCTCCTCCTCCTCTTTCTGTTTTTACAGGTAACTTTGGCAACTGCCGTGGTCGGTGATTTAAGGTTATATTTTCAAATGGCCAATTTAAGAACTAAACAGCAAGTAGCCCAAGGCTAGATTCCAAAATGAAACTTTTCCCAAGGAGAGTAGGCAATAAAGGACTTGGGAAATGGTCATGCTAGGTGTTCAAGGTGGCTGTAGTTTGGATGGTGAAGTGGAACAATTGGAGAAAAGATGGGGTGTGAGGGAGAGGTGGTACTACGAGGAGAGAAACCACAAAAGGATGTAGTCTCCTATGTCAGAAACAGCATCTCTGGCTCTGTCATCCAGTCCATTGGTCTGTGGGTCTCTGGCTGATCAGATAGTGGGACGGAGAGTCAGTCTTGATATGAGTGACTAGGGACATTAGAAGAGGGTGCAAAGCTGGACTTGTAGGCCAAAGGTGTGGGCTCTGACTCTTGTGATGGCTGTTACTGGGTGTGCAAGTTTTTTAACTAAATGTTCCCACCCACTGGTTAGTTCCTCAACATTGTTCTTATTGGTTTGAATGACTCGTGACCTTGCCTGCCTCTCTGGATCCCTTCAGATGTGTGGCTTCAAGCCAAATGGGCCCCAGTGATACAAGGCTTCCAGGTCACTGAGACTGAGAGTTGACTGATCATCACCCCCAGAACCCCATCACCTCCCTTCTCAGGGATGGGTGGGGGTTTTGAAGGGCAGTGAAACTATACTTTTCCTATTGCGGCCTGGGCCCAACCAGGGGTGCTGGGGTGGAATCATGAATGGGATCACTACATACTAAAGGACAGGCCACCACTCTGACCACAAATTAGGCAGTTGGCTGGAGCTGGGATGGAGCTAGCATGTGACAAAAGAAATGAGGGGACTTGGTAACAGGAGGGTTGTTTGGGATTAGTAGCTTGTCTCAGGGGCACCTGGTAGTCTAGCTTAAGTTCCCTGTCCCTATACTTCTATGTGCCTGACTTGGGAGATTCTGCTTGGAAGA